AAAGAACACATCAAGTGCGAGTCCAAAAAGCGAGTTCAAAAATATGCGAAAAATACATTAAGCGCCTAGTCGCCGTGGGCAGTTACTATCTCTGCAACTGGCGAACAGCACTATCATGACGCTGGTCGCACTGGTGAAGTGGCTTCGGTGATGCCAACTACCGTATTTATTCGAATATAGGTCGACCTTTTTTTTTCTGAAATGTTGTCAAAAATTAAGGGTCGACCTATAACCGTGACCAAAGAATTTCGACCTAATTCGCGACCAAAATTTGAAACCCTACCGAGGGTATGGAGCTATCAATCACCTAACCGGCCTCGCGGTAGAGCCGACCGGCTTCTTGTTTCAAAAAGCTTTTGATGCATAAAAACAACCGAACAGCAGCAGCCGACAGCCCGTGGCTGCCGGCTACGGCTCTCGCGCATTTTCCTCGGGTGTCGGGTTTCGCCATCACGCCTGTAGCGTTCCCCTCGCTGGGCAAGGGGGAAGGGGAGGGAGAGGAACGCGATGCGCCATGCACTTTGCCCTTCTATGCGCTCCATTCCTCTCTCCTTCGCAAACGCGCAAATAAAAAACAAAAAAAAAAACCGGAGGTACTTACTACTTTAGCTTGTTTTTTTTTTTTCGGTGGGTCGCGTGTTGCTCACGGGGCTCGCAGCGTTGCTCGTGTCTTTGTATTTGGTCTTTCGTGGCTCGCCCATCTCCACCTTCTTTCGTTTCTGCTGGTCGTCATTTTACAACTTGCGAGGATGTCTACCAAGCTAATGAAGCTTCGGACGAGATGTCCTGAAGTTCTGACGATGAATAAGTTTTTGACATCGCCCTGTGATTTAGCTGAGAGTGCCGTAAATAAAGGTTTGTTTCTTTTGCCCTAACTTTCCCTTGTTCCTTAAAAAAAAGAAAAAAAAAGGTCGACCTATACTTGAATAATTTTTTTCTTATTCTCGGTGGGCTCAATAAATAGGGGTCGACCTATTTTCGTGATCGACCTATTTTCGGGTAAATACGGTAGAAGGTGCGTATTCAATCACTTTCTTAATTTTTGTAATAAACTATTCATTGCATTTACTCGCATAATGAACCCACTCTCTACAACATAATCACCAGTATTGAGTTTTCATTTCCATGCATTCGCCAGTCAGTAAAAGCCACCAAGCAACCAGGTCAAAACGCAAAATCAAGCCAATCACATGCACAAGTTACCGTATTTTCTCGCGTATAACCCACATAAAAATTTATGAAAAGTCAAGGGCAAAGTAGGGGTTATATGCGAATTGCAGCGGGCAGTGTGGTTTCACGGCAATGCGCGTGAAGTTGTAGGGATAGATTCCCCAGAGTCCTCTTCTCTGGTCTCTCTTAGGGACATTCTTCTCTCCACCTTGTCCTCCTTTTTGCAGGTAGCAATCTTTACTTTATTTCTGAGGGCTCCGAGACGTCGATTGCAGCTTCGTGCCGTCATCAAATCTGTTGCCGAAGAGATTGGAAACTGAGCCGCAGACCGGAACTATGATTGGTATGGCATTGACCAGTCGTGAATGCGAGAGTGGAGTAAGAATTAGAAGCTGCAAACTGCAAGCCGCGACCAAAGATTGTTCAACGATAAAAGGACTGGTGCGTACCCCGAGTTTCATAGAGAAAAAAAGAGGTAGCAGTCCCGCGGTATCTACAGACATCCGGAGCTACCGCAGTTTTGTTGTATGAAATGGCGCAGGACAGTTTCATAAAGTGCTGCACGGCTGACGATGCTATCTGCAACATTAAAGGCGCCAGCAATGAGAGTATTAAAAAAGAAGTCCGAGGACACCTAAGCACTTCTTAGGAGTTGCAAATGCGAAAGCATGAATGTCGTTCTTCCACTCCCTTAGTTTGTCTGCAACGTAGTGGCGTGGACGCCCACGTTTCGTTGGCGGACGGAAAAGCGCGCGCTTTCGAGAAGTGGCCGCATCGCACTGAGCTTGGCCGTGCGGCCTCTCTGGAGTCTGCCCGGACGGGCTCTGTTGGCTCTGCTGCCACCGCTCCCTCCTCTTACTGGCAGCTGCACTGTCGTGTGCACAGCGCCGCCATGGAATGGCCTTCTCTGGTAGCTTTTTGCAAAAATTATGCCGCACAAGAGCCAATGGGAGCCCCGCTCCTTAAAGACGTGTGCCAGCCAATGAAAGCATATTCCATCAGAAATCGGCTTTACATGGGAAAGGGTATTTCAGGTGCTTTTTCAGCTCACTTTCTATGATTCTGAACTGCAAGGACAGCATCATGGCGGCACTCCAGAACGGCGCGCGTGCGCAGCACAAGACTGTGGCAACGCCGGTCTACGAAGACGTCGAAAAAGCCGTCTTTCAGTGGTTCCTCGACAAAAGAGCAAACAAGCTGCCTTTGACTGGAAGCCTTCTGCAGTAGAAGGCTATTGACTTCGCATGCATTCTTAGGCAGGACAACTGGCGAGCGCCGGATGGCTAAGCCGATTCAAAGGGCGGCACTGCATCATCGCCAAGGTGTTGTCTGGGGAGTCGGTGAGCGTCAATGCTGAAGCAACATCATCCTGGATGAAGAAAAGTTTCAAAAACATACTGAAAGAATACGAGTCTTCCGAAATTTATAATGCAGGTGAAACTGGATTTTTCTGCCAAATGTTGCCGGCGAAAACGCTCGACTTGAAGGGACAGAAATGTCATGGCGGCAAGCTAAACAAAAAGCGGGAGACCATTCCCTTGTGCTCAAATATGGACAGCTCTGACAAGTGTCCCCTTTCTGTGATTGGCCGGAGCAACGAGCCACGGTACTTTAAAGGTAACCGAAGGCTGCCGGTCGAATGCACTGCTAACCAGAAAGCTTGGATGACGCGCTCAATATCCTCCAGTTGGCTGGAAGCTTTTGATGAGGATATGCAAAAGCAGAGAAGATCCGTCTGCCTTTTTTTAGACAACTGCAGTGCTCACCACACCAAAGACGTCGTCCTGATGAAAGTCCGCTTGATCTTTTTCCCCCCAACCTGCACGTCTGTTATTCAACCTCTGGACCAAGGGGTTATTAAAAGTGCCAAGTCAGCGTACCAAAGGAGACTGATCTGGCAGATGTTGTTAAACATTGAAATGAAGCGGCCACAGAAATTGATCGTTTCATGGCTCTGGAGATGCTTGCCAGCGCGTGGACTGTTACTTCGGCCGGGCTTATCCAGAGCTTCTTCAGACATGCTAGTTTCGCAGCTGGTCAGCATGCCTCAGCAGCCTTGTTAAGAGCGGGAAGCGAGTGTTTCTGCAAGCAGTGACGATCTGCAGCCACTAACCGAAGCATAGGACTCGCTTCGCAGTGTCGTTACAAAGGTGCCAGACGTCATTGAACTGGATGACTTTTTGTGTGCGGACGCTCACTTGATCGTGCACGAGGAGTTTAGCAACAGCACTATTATCGACAGTGTGCGCAAAGGACATGAGGAAAGTGACAACGAGGATGGCAAAAAGCCAACACAAGAACGGCAATCAAGCTTGCGTGATGTGCTTGATGCTTTGGACGTTATCCGGAATTTTCTTGGCGTCCATGATGACGACAAAGCTATGCATAGTTTATCAAGCTGCGAGGCCCGAGTCGTGAAGCTCATGCACAACCAGGTGAAGCAGAGCAAAATAAGTGACTTTTTTCATTAAATTTTGGTTCTAGAAAGTAATAGGTGTGCTTATTTGTCCATTTTCGTGACAGCGAAATTGTCTTGAGAACGAAAAAAATTCCTTCCCCGGCGGTTTCGTTATTGCGAGGGTTCGACTATTTCGTCCATCGAACATACTGACGTCAACAAACATGCTGTGGCCCGTGGACCATTCCGGACGCCGACATTGCAAGTGGTAAGGCCCAGGGACGATTGCGTCAATTTTTGTGCCACGTGCCGCAGATACGAAACTGCGCCGAGCACCGTAGGGTGCTTTTTCGTATGCGAAAGAGACAATAAAAGTTCAGTCTTCACGCTTCAGCGTGCTCGGTTGGCTCTGTAAACAATGGCCTTTCCGAGTTCAGTGATCGAACCAAACGAGGGCCCACATGACCCATGTCTTCCTCCTACATTTTCACTCTTGGACATAACAGGCGCCCCATTCCCCACTTTTCCACGATTACTCCTAATCTTGAGTGGGCGCTTGCTTGGTATTTTGCGGTAGTCTTAGATTACAACATTACCAGTAAAATGCAGTCTTTGTGCTAGGGATGGGCGAATCTTCATTCTCTGGAGTGACACCCAGTATCTGTGTTCTACTAAAGCTGAACCTAGCTACAAGCAAGCTAAGAACTTTGCATGGCCGGTAGAAGGATACCGGCGTGCAGTTTGCTTTACAAGACATTGCTGTGCTTGTTTGTGCATGATGCTGAGGAAAGTTATAGGTGGAAATGGAGACAAACACGAAGAAAGTGACACAGAGGGGTGCTATCTGTGTTACCTTTTGCATGTTGGTCTGTTTGCCACAACAAGTTTCCTGAGCAGTTCGCTTCTAACTGAACGAAGCTGTCATTAGTGAGAGCAGAAAAAGTTTCCTAACCACAAGTATGAGCTGTTGGACAGGAATGTCACTAAACTATGGGACTCCTTCCATTGGTGAGCCAATAGTGCTTTCACATTGCACCAAGAATCTAAATTCCCTCAACGATAAAAACCACAAAAGGCAAGTCCTTTGTATAAATTAAACAGTTGGAGCATGGGAAATTTTCAAAGTGCTGTGTTGCACCAACGAATGGGAGACTCCCAGGAGAGCCGAGAAATGAAGAAACCTTGACGGAAGCAGAATGGTGGGTGGAAGCCAGGCCAGACATCAAAGCAGTTTTGTATATTGCCTATTGTTGCACAACAGTCGTGTTGAAAAAAAAAACTCTGCTTATGCCAGAAAAATATGATCGGTATAGCACTGGAGTTTTCACTGTACTTTTATCAGAGCAAACGTGAGTGGCACTTTATGGCCACCATGCCACAGCTTTACACCATAATCCAGGCAATGAACATAGTGCAGAAAAAAGCTGATTACCATTGTGTAAGGTAAGTTCTTGATTGAAGCCAATGGCCATTTCCTTCTGACGTCCAATCACATGGGAGAGGCCCTCCAGACCACGATCTTGCTCTGGAAGGTAAGGACATGGGAACTTAGAGTACAAGCTAGTTGAACAGTGCATGAGAAAGTTAGCACAAACAAACTACTGAAAACTTCTTTTCAGTAAAGTTAATATCTAGTCATGCAGAATGTGCTCATGTAGGGCACCAACTTCAGCAACAAATTTTAGTGTCTGTCAATTGCCCCCACAGTGTTAAAAAAGTTCAAATGCCATGCTCACGCTAAATGGGTTGCGTAGTGTGCGCCAACACTAGAAGAACCGTCACCCTTACTCTGCCGTGTCGGAGTCTCATTTGTCAACTAGCGTGTACATTATCCCCACTTCCCCAAAAGCTGTGAAAGCAGGATTATGGTTTCAACATGTAACATTTGCTGCACATACAGACAAGAGGTGGGGGTTTCCGTTAATATAAACTGCTTCAAGGAAAGCAGATGCAGATAAAAAGCTACCCATGAGAGCTTGTCCCTTCAAACAATTATTGCACTGCAGGAGTGCATGTGCACAGTATGCCCACTAGGAACATAGTGCTGGCTCTTGTAGTGCTGGTTAAGGCAAAACAGATTAATAGGGCTGCCTGGTTGCACTCACATATTTTATAAGTCTGTGAACCAAGTAGCAGTGAGCGCAGCTCATCATGGCAGGGGAAGGGTAAACTCCACTCTGCATCAATCGACAAATGAAGTGCCAAAGCAGCCTGCATCAATATGCGTCACTTCATATCCTATACTATGGCTTTCCGGTGAAGTCAGTGTCCAATTCAATTTCAGAAATATTTGGTGAAACCATACTGGAAATGATAGGCTACAGTCATGTTTGCATGCACCTGCATCTCCGACTTTCCACACACTGTTAAAAGGGGGCACTGCAATGAAGCAGCACGATGATGACGACACGAATCAAGAGAAAGGACAAGAGCATCAAAGAGCGTGGCGCCGAAAAACCCATGCATAGATAATCTGGTGTTAGAATGATAAGCCTCGAACCAGCTTTTGCAAATATTTTCCCACTTTGCTGATGTGTCTGTAATGTTGTTTATCTTAATGCGCCAAAAAACTGAAAGAGAACTGTGCGGGGATGTCAGAGCGCCGAGCACAGACTGGAATGATTAGTGCATAGAACTAAAGATCTTTGTCTCCACTGCACTTGTTGAATGTGTTCAAATGCAAGAGCCAAACGCCGTGCGCCGGCGTTTCGTGTTTTAATGCGTTCAACGAGTGCAGTGGAGACAAAGGCTGCTAGCTTTAGGTCTAACCACTAAGCATTCCGACCAGAGCTCGGCGTCCTGACGTCCCCGCGCGCTCTCGTCTCCTCCTCTCCCTCACTTCTCGGTGCATAACCTTTTTCAAATTTAGAAGTGTTAGCTTTGGCCACATAATATCAATCTCGGGCAGTAACTAGTTACTATACTCAGCGTCAACCATTTTGTGCCAAACTGTCAAGACTAGCGTAGCTCCAGCAGTGCTTTAACCCTGTAAAGGCTAGTTGCACGAGTGCAAATGAATGAGACACAAGATGAAGATATGTGCTTTCGCAGCAGTGTGGTGCTGCATCAGTGTGGAAGCTACGCTGGCTTTGACAGCATAGCACAAAGTAGTCGATGCCGGGTGTGGCCTTTTTCACAAGGGTGCGCCAGCTTGAAATATCGCCACTTTAAGTATGGGCGAAAACATTGTTTTGCGATCGCCACACCAATAGAATATATTTAGAATATAAGTGTAACCGTCATTCTCGTTTTGTCTCCCCTCTATTTTTTACTCTTTACAGGTTGAAATGTTTTATTTTTTTTGTCGACCGTACGGGATATGCCTGGCGGGGTAGGCTGGGGACGAGAGTAAGCGAAAAAGGTCTATACTAATGCATTACCTGTAAGTATAGTCGATGACAGGTAACTATAATACCTGTGAAACTGTGATACTTGTACCTATACTATAACTATAATTAGTGACAGGCTAATTTGGTTCATATCACTCTGCTAGGCAATTACTTCCACTCGTTTTCTTGACATCACTGACGTTGCAGCTTCACGAGGGACGGCGTTTTTTCGCAGCGAGTTTGCCGCTCTTTACCCACCTGGGTTTACGTCCTAAAGTCGCTCCGGTACAGTCACCAACCAATATTTAGGACGCTGATAACTCGGACTTGTTGGATATTTCTGACCTAAAGGAGTGCAGCAAGGAAAGCCTTTGGGCCCGCCACCAGCCACAGTTGCAGCATACGCGGTCTGCCTTCCACGGGACTGGGACTGCGACCCGCGAGTTTGGTTCCTGCAAGTGGAATCACAATTCCACCTTGCAGGAGTCAACACACAATGTTGGAAGTACCACCCCATCGTCTCGGCTCTTTCCCCAACTGCCGCCGCCGAAGTCTACGACGTTCTTACAAATCCATTTCCAGCAACACCGCACGACCAACTGAAGACTGCTCTGCTTCAGTGCACCGAGGCTTTGGAACGCTCCCGCCTGCAGCAGCTTCTTCTGGCGGAAGAGCTCAGTGACCGGCGGCCAAACCAGTTGCTGCGGCGCCGGCCACCGAGCTATCGTTATGATAGTACCATTACACGGGATACCCATGTAATGATAAACGCCACAGCAACAGTGGCGGCGGTGATATCGGGCAGTGGGGTTGCCTCTGGCCATCATGTTAATCTGTCGACACATGTTGGGATGTAGTGCTGTTCCTGAGAAATCAGTCAAGGTTCGACCAGGTCCAAATGAATCTTGTTGAGACAGCTGTCTGGTTGGAGGAACGGTCGAATTGGTGGTACTGGATGATGCTGGACTTTCGCGCACTGGCATATAATGCACGAATGCACCAGTCACGAACGTCGAATTTTATTCGGGGCCAAACGTAGCGATTGCACAGGAGCTTCTGATATGCTCGTACACCCAAATGTGACAAGCAATGAATCGCTTCTAAAAACTGCCATCACAGCTAACGTGGTACAAAAGGTCTAGGCGTTCCCATTGACAGGTCACAAACCACGGTGGTGCCTTCTGGAAAGCTTACACCCCGCAGTTGGAAGGACGAGGGTGAATTGCGTAGGGCATGCAATCCTTCGTCAGTGGTCTGTAGACGGGCCAGTAACTCAATGTTTACAGCAGAACAGGGTAGGGTGTTGACCAGATCAATCCGGCTGAGGACATCAGCGGCGACATTGTCAACTTCCTTAACGTGCCAAATGTCCGTTGTGAATTCGGCCAGGAAGGCTAGCTGGAGAATCTCACGTGGTGTGTAATGAGACCCGGAATTGCAGATGGCGTAAGTTAGAGGCATGTGGTCAGTTGAACGTCATACAGCCAAGTAAGCAGCCAATAGCTCACGTCCGAAAATGCTCTAGCACGTTTGTGCTGGCTTGAGCTTCTTAGAAAAGAAACCAATCGGCCGCCACTCTCCGCTCACTTTTTGTTATAGCGTTAGTCATCAGCGATGTTGGGGCGTCATGCATAAAATGTATTAGCTTTGCTGCTTCTGAGTTCTTCACCTCGCCGAAAGCGCATTTTGCATTTTCGTTCCATGGAAGGGACGACGTTTGTGACTCTTGTTTTGTTAGAAGGATCTCAAGATGCTCGAGCAGTTTTGCATAGTTCGGATCAAGCGCTGATAAAAATTTACCAAACCGAGAAACTGGCGAAGCTTGCTAGTCGAAGTCGGCCTCGGGAAATCTTTGACGGCTTGTGCCTTTGAAGCCAGTGGACAAATGCCCGAGAAGTCAAGCCAATGACCAAGAAATTACAATTCCGGAACTCCGAACACACTTTTTGCGGTGTTGATGACAATGCCGTGGCTGCGCAGTCGTTCGAAGAGGAGGTGCAAGTGGGTCATGCGCTCTTCAGATGGCTTGCAGGCTATGAGAAAATTGTCTACGTATGCGAAGATGAAGGGTAACCCTTGCGTGATAGCGTCGATGAACTGTTGGAATGACTGAGCCGCATTTCTGCGACCAAAGAGCATGCAGAGAAATTCAAAAAGTCCATACAGTGTTGTGATCGACGTTTTCGGGGCGCCTTTCTCGGCCATGGGAATTTGGTAGTAGGCTCGTGTCAGATCAATCTTTGAGAAGATCTTTGCGCCTTGTAGGTTCATCGTGAAATCCTGGTGGGTAGAGGGTATTCTGTCCGGTACACTGTTTTTATTTAAGCCACGATAATCGCCACATTGCCGCCAGTCTCCATTTTTCTCGGACACCATGTGTAATGGAGACGCCCAGCTGCTAGATCAGGGTCGGACGATGCCAAAGTCTAACATGTGCTCAAACTCTTGGCGAGCATCGCGGAGATTCTCTGGGGCTAGACTGCGGGGACGACAGTAAACAGGTGGTCCTGTCGTCACAATGTGGTGCTGTATGTCGTGTGAGACGGGTTTTGTCCAATCAGGTGACTGAGTTAGGCTCGGAAACTTACTCAGCGAGGTCTTGAACGCTTCTTCCAGGATCATGCAGGCAGAGGTGTAGACTGCATTGTCGTCCGTTGCGATACCATGGACGGAAAGTCGTGTGGTAGAGTCTATGAGTTGCCTGTTTCTAACGTCCACGACGAGCTTGTAGCGGTTGAGAAAGTCCGCGCCGAGAATTCCTTGACTGACATCGGCCACCAGGAAAATCCACCAGAAAACCGCAACTCCGGTCCATACTTTCAAATTTGGGATTATGACAGTTTCTAGTGCAGTCAGCGTCCCTGAATTGCAAGGTGTAATTTTTTTTCTTGTTATTGTGCGTAGTTTTAAAGATATCGATGCCTTAAAGTTTTGTTTGGGGTGCGGCAAACAAAACCAAAACTAGCCGCTCGAGGCCCCCGCAGCTTTGGAAATCAGCCGCTATGTGAATGTGACGTCAGGATCGCTCTCGTTCAACAAGTACGCAGGCCGAGCGGCACCTACCTCTGTCGCACTAGCCGTCTAAAGATAGGAGGTAAGCCGATTTTGTTTTAATTCTGTATACGTGGTAGTTATCCAGCATATGTAGCAAGAGTTAGTGCGTATACCCAAAAGCTAGTGTCTGGAAAACCCGTGA